TATATATATATATATATATATATATATATATATATATATATATATATATATATATATATATATATATATATATATATATATATATATATATATATATATATATATATATATATATATATATATATATATATATATATATATATATATATATATATATATATATATATATATATATATATATATATATATATATATATATATATATATATATATATATATATATATATATATATATGAAGTATGGGTTGCTTTTAAGAGCTTATGGGATGCTTTTAAGATCACCTTTTAAAGCTGACTAGCTTTTATAGCTGAATTTGCTGCTGTTAAAAGTGTATTTTGCATATTAATAATACTCCGGATGTACTGTTCTAATGATATATTATCAAAGTAGGAATGACCCATCTGCCCTTCAGCATCTCTCACAATGTAAAGACACACAATCATCACAATATCAGACATGCACGAGCGCGCTTATTGTTTCTGTTGATAATTACAGCTCTTCCTAATGGAGGCCGGTTTAATATGCTGCTTAGATATCTCATTTTGTTTTAGATGTTTAATTCAATCCGGTTGAATCGACTGTAATAATTATAATCTGATGAAAGACTTACAGACGAGATTTCCTCTCCTTCACCTTGAGCAACCCTCCCATCAAAACATCCTTCACAGGATTCATTAAAATGCATTAAAACTGGGTATTATTCACAAATTAACCAGATGGCAATCAAACTCACTGATGGCTTTGACTACAGACTGAAATTAGTTAACAAAAAGATTTGCTTTTAACGGGTCCAGATGGCGAGACAGTTTGCGAGGAGGCAAATCAAGGGCATTTTAGATGGCATCAGTGTGGACAATGACATATGACACATTGGATTTTTTCATGTTTTATGAGTTCTTCCCATCCTCATAATGATGTTTAGACTGTACAGACTCGATATTGCCTCCCTCTACCCCTAAACAAATCTCTGAGAGGAAACAATCTGCTGTTTTGCATTTCAAAATACCTAATTTTGTGTGATTTATGAGTCATTTTGCTCAAGAGAACCAAAAAAAGATCCCTACAATTTTAAAGGTGCAGTATGTAAGTTTGACACCCAGTGGTTGAACTAGGTATTGCACACCTGGTTTAAAACACACACAAGAGCAGGTTGCCAGATTGACAACGCCAACAGGAAAGGCTGATTTAAATGCTAATAATGTGAGTTGGACTGCTATTTCACATGACATTTATTGCCGTTATACTAAAAGCAACAGAAGATAGTTCACCTCAGATCTTTAAAATATAATAAACTGTTTGAAATTGAACTTCAGAACTGTGACTCAGTTCAAGCCAACACATATCAGTGATTCAGCATCTACATTTAATAGTGTTAAAGTGGTTTAATATGCATTAAGTAGATTATAAACCTTACCATTTCATTGGAGTGCAGTGAGTGCACTATTCTGTGCTTCTGAATGGCGGTATGTACATTACTGTTGTGTTTCGTCTTTTGCAAATTGCTTATCACTTCAAGTCTCGTCACGTAGCATGTTGTTAATAACAACTTCTTGTGGATCTCTGAATCTGCATCTCATTTCGGAGGCTGCTACTGTCCACCGGAGGTCGCATTTTGGTCACGGACGCACACTTTGAGAGCCCTTATGACTGAATGAATGAATAATGAATGGTTGCTGAAATATAATTAGCTAAACTGGCTGTAGGTGGGTTAAATGAGCAAAACAAAGACAGCCGTTCCAGCACATAATGCACATTTCAAAGCAGAATATCTGACTTTAGTTTTGTTTTCCAGATAAACAGGAATGTTCACTTGTCTACAAACATATTATGGTATTTTTATGCGTTAGAATATTCAAAAATTTACATACAGCACCTTTAAGATTTACTGGTATTACTACACTTGTAACAATAACACATTTGGTCCTGTCATTACACCTCTAGGGGTCTGCGATATATATGGCTTTGATGATAATTGTTATAACAATGTGTGAGCTGACCTTTTTTAAGAATGTCACTCACTTTCACCAAAAAAAAAAAAGTCTTGGCACTGAATATGTAACAAAGCAGCTAGAATGAGCCGACAGTGTCACGTTCGTGATTAGGGAAAGAAGCGAGGACTCAGGTGCAGCAAATAAGGGGTGTTTATTATAATAAAATAAAAATAAAAGGCAAAACAAAAACTACCCCGAGGGGGAAAACATTAACAAAATACACAAACTTGGCTGGGCTGACAAGACAAGGCAAGACTGGAACAGGAACACGGGGAGTGTAGACAACTAACTGGCAAAGGACTGAAAACATGAGGGGGATTATAAAGCAAAAAGTAAATTGACACACAGGTGAACATGACAAACTAATAATGAGTAAACAAGGAGGGTGGGACTAGACAATAGACGGGAGAGCGCATGACACAGAGAGACAATTCAAGCCATGCGCTCACATAACACAGGACAAGAACATGCAGCCAATGAGAGAACTCATTAACCGCATGCTCATGACAAGACAAGCACAACACTGAAGCACTCGACAAAAGCACGTGACCACAATGTAAACACCGAGCCACGTGCTTTGACAAGAGACGCAAGACACGAGCACACGATGAATGAAAACACTCACCATGCGCTCACACACGCAGCGTGCATGCTTCATCCCAGCGCCGACCAAAAGCGAAACCAACAAGACTGAGACGCTGGGAATGAAACACCACGCTGCAGACAGACGAAAACACAAACACGAGTACAAGAGCCTCCAAGCGGCAGCGCGCACACTCTGCGTACACCCACGACGGCGCGCACGCACACAGAGACAGAAACAGGACCAGACATGGGTAGTGTCAGAGCTCTGCCACCATCAAAACAAGAAATTACAAGACCAGAGTGGCAGAACCCTGACAGACAGTTCATTGCAGAAACTCTCTAAATGTTATTTTATATTAATATAAAATTGTATATGCACAACTTATTACGGTGTGAGCATGATTACATCTGTGATGCTGCTTTTATACAACAAACAAGGACTCATATTGCCTGTATTACAATTTAGACACAATGTTTTGTTAGTTTGTTTGTTTCATCAGTGAAATGAAATGAAAGCCAGAGCAAAACATCTGTGTATCTCGGACTGAAGTGCCTTTATTGTGAGTTTTACATCTGAAAGTGCACCATGTATAAAGCTATTGACTTATGAAAGAAAAAGTTAGTTCGAATTAGTTTTAAGCCGTTTCGTCTCGTTAGTACCCAGTTTATGTAGACCAGCTTCTTCTTCTTCTGAATCAGAACCTGTAGGTGTGGTTAAAAAAGGCTGCCTCCTTGTTTTCTGTAGAATGCAAAATATGTATTAAGTTCTATTTTGAGTTTGCTCCATGCAGGTTTATGTGTGACAGTGGCTTTCACAGTGGACACAGAAAGCGATGCGCATACCCATTCATTTCAATGGCTTGAGCAGCGCAGTTCAATGTACACACAGCAGAGCGCACCTCAAAGTTCAGAATAGTTCAGATTTTGCTGCTGCCCAGAAATTTGTTGATTAATACTGAATGTTTGTTGTTGTTGTTATTGGAATTATGACGAAGAATAGAGCAAAATGCTGGTGTGCAAACTGCAGTACTTGCATTGGGTTCACACATATACCATGACTGCTTGTTTCAACAAACAGACTGAATGCAGTAGACCAATCATAACAGACTGGGTCATCAGTCCATTCACAACACACCAAGTCACCGGAGGAGTCATAACAAACTCGGTCAATGTAGAATTATCGACCAATCACAACTGAGTCATCAAAAAAACTACTACAGATTGATTCATCAGACCAATCACAACAGACTGAGTTATCAAAACAATCATAGCAGTCTGAGTCATTGGACTATTCACAACAGACTTGTTAATTGGACCAATCACAACAAAGTCATCAAGCGAATCACAACAGACTGGGTCATTGGACCAATTACAACAGACTGGGTCATCGGACCAATTACTATAGACTTAGTCATCAGATCAATCATAACAAACTGAGTTATCGCACCAATCAGAACAGACTAGGTCACTGGACCAATCACAACACACTGGGTCATTAGACCAATCATAACAAAATGGGTCATCGGTGCAATTACAACAGACTGGGTCATTGGACCACTCACAACATACTGGGTCATCGAATAAATCATAACAAACTGGGATTGAACCAATTACAACAGACTGAGTCATCGGACTAATCACAACAGATTGAGTCATCGGACCAATCAGAACAGTCCGAGCCATCAGACCATTAACAACAGGCTGAGTCATCGAACCAATTACAACAGACTGGGTCATCGAACCAATCGCAAGAGACAGGGTCATTAGACTAATCACAACAGACTGAGTTATTGGGCCAGTTACTACAGACTGAGTCATCAGACCAATCAGAACAGTCCAAGCCATCAGACCATTAACAACAGACTAAGTCATTGAACCAATCACAACAGATTGAGTCATTGGACCATTTACAATAAACTAGGTCATAAGAACAATCCATAGACTGGGTCATTGGACCCATCACAGCAGACTAAGTCATCAGACCAATCATAACAGACTTGGTCATTGGACCAATTGACACAGACTGGGTCATCTGACCAATCACAACAGACAGAGTCATCAAACCAATTAGTCATTGGACCAATCATCACAAATTACCATCAGACAAAGTCTGATGTCAAAGGGAAAATGAATTGCTGGACAAATCGTTCGGGAGTTGTTAGGATAATTAAGTAAAAATAATTATGACAATGAAAGTGTTTTCATGATCTTGCATGTATATGAGCCTGTTGCCAGGGACTCCCCAAACCATAACATTAACTCTTTTATATCCTTTTTTTTATACATAATAGAGGCACTTTAATGATTTAGTGAATTGTTAAGACAGTTACTTGGCGCCACCTACTTGTGGTTTTTAAATGTGGATACATTTTTCTATGACCAAAATCTGTGAAGACTAGCACAACAATGCACTCAGCACAATAATGTTCAGTTATCATGACAAAATATTTGACATTTCAATATTGCGCATCACGATGTACCAGCACACATCATTCAGAGAAGAGATGTTGCTGAGGATGGAGGAGTTCAGTTTTGATGTGATGGCATCTTAAAGCTTTTCTTGCCTTCAGACCTGTGTGTGTGTGTGTGTGTGTGTGTGTGTGCGCGCACGTGTCGGTGTAGGAAGCAGATCCGTCCTGCCGCTCAGTAATGAACATGTCAGAGATGTTGAAGAGGAGGGTGAGGGATTAAGCAGCTGATAATGATGAAGACGAGCATCAGAAGAGCGGTGGTCTGCTCGCCCCGGCCCACGCTCTCTGGCCCACTCCAGCCTCCTAATGAACAGTAATCTAATCGCTCGTGGACAGAGGAGACAAAGGCACGCAGGGATGAATAAGAGAGCTGGGGATTGGAGAGAGCTAGGCAGCGTCTGGGCGGTGATTTCATTGAATTGCTGACGTGCGTGTGCTGCAAATGAAAGACAAATGCAGAGCTGAAACAATCAAGAGCGGCAACACCTCGCAGCCAATGACTGGATGCATGAGCTATACGAGGCTCTCGGCTTCGGCTGCTGATGAGAATGTAATCAGGGTTCAAGATCTCGCTCAAACTAGCTCCAGCCACCAACTATATGAACATAGTTGGAACCACTCAATGTGCAACAAACTATTTTCAATGGGAAGTAGCTAATGTTTGCTCAGAGTCGTTAAATGTCGCTAGATGAAGTCTTGTGTCAATTAGCATATTAATGACCTCATCACATCCAACAGGTTCTGTTTGTTTGATACATTTCTTGTCGGCTCAGTCCCTTTATTAATCTGGGGTCGCCACAGCGGAATGAACCACCAACTTATCCAGCGAGTTTTTACGCAGCGGATGCCCTTCCAGCCGCAACCCATCTCTGGGAAACATCCACACACACACTCATACACCACGGACAATTTAGCCTACCCAATTCACCTGTACCACATGTCTTTGGACTGTGGGGGAAACCGGAGCACCCGGAAGAAACCCACATGAAGGCATTGAGAACATGCAAACTCCACACAGAAACGCCAACTGAGCCGAGGTTCGAACCTGCGACCCAGCGACCTTCTTGCTGTGAGGTGACAGCACTACCTACTGCGCCACTACCTCACCTTGTTTGATACAGTCTATGGTTATTTATACTTGCACCACTTTTTATGGCAACGCAGTGGTGCAGTAGGTAGTGCTGTCACCTCACAGCAAGAAGGTTCGAGCCTCGGCTGGGTCAGTTGGGGTTTCTGTGTGAAGTTTGCAAGTTCTCCCTGTAGTAGAGTACAACAATGTAAAATAGAATTGAACAGAGTAATGTAGAGTAGAACAGGAGAGTAGCATAGTCTAGATTGAAGTATAAGAGAGTAGACTAGAGTAGAGTAGAGTAGTGTGCAGTAGAGAAGAGTAGAGTAGAAAAGAGGGCAGAAGAGTGCAGTAGAGTAGAGTAGAGTAGAGTAGAGTAGAGTAGAGTAGAGTAGAGTAGAGTAGAGTAGAATAGAGAAGAGTAGAGTATAGAAGAGTAGAGAAGAGTAGAGTAGAGTAGAGTAGAGTAGAGAAGAGTAGAGTAGAGTAGAGAAGAGTAGAGTAGAATAGAGTAGAGTAGAGAAGAGTAGAGTAGAGTAGAGAAGAGTAGAGTAGAGTAGAGTAGAATAGAGTAGAGTAGAGTATAGAAGAGTAGAGTAGAGAAGAGTAGAGTAGAGTAGAGACGAGTAGAATGCAGTATGCAGTAATGCAGGGTGCAATAGAGTAGAGTGCAGTAGACTAGAATCGAGTAAAATGCAGTAGAGAAGAGTAGAGTGAAGTAGTGCAGAGTAGAATAGAGTGCAGTAAAGTAGTGTCTGGTAGACTAGAGTAGAGTACAATGTAGTAGACTAGAATAGAGTCTAGATGAGAGTAGAGAACAGTGTAGTAGACTAAAGTAGACTACAGTGTAGCAGACTAAAATAGGGTAGAGTCTAGTAGGCT